GGAGTTCACGGGGGACGTTCGGGAGCTAGGACTTATAGCTCAACCTGAGAAACCTGGGTGGGTTTCGAGTTCGCTTCCTGGAGGCCGCTTGATCATTGAGCTAAGCAGCTGCGTCCCAAGGCCAAGAAGTGGATGAGAAACTTGGATCGATAGCTGTCTGGGAGTAAACCGATCAGGAAGCAGGCGGCCTCGAGACTTAGCAAGCTTAGGTCTAGGACGCCGAGAGCGATGATGGTGCGCAAGAGTGCTGCGCCACAGGTGACGGCGCTATGGCGCACAGGCCTACTTCCCGCTGCCGCGCACGGTGATTCAGTTGCAGGTGTGTCCGTGCTCGAGTTCGCTAAGATGCGCCGTGCTGCTGGTGCGACCTGTGGCAGGTCTCTTCGACGTCGCTTGCGTCCGTGTAAGCCACGCAGAAAGACGGGATGTACGACCCTGTTTCCCATGCCGCGCTGGAGCCTGTGAAGGCTTATGCCAGCTTTGTTTGGGATCAAAGGGCACCTCTGGGCAGATTGCAAAGGGTTTCGGTTTCGGCGAATGCGCAGATGACGAAGCAAGCTACCTGGACTCAAGCACGAGGGCCCATATCTACGTTGGGGCTGACACTAGCTAGGATAGGTTGGAGCATGCTATATAGCACGGTAATGATTGATGCCAGCAGCTACAGCATAGACATGATGAGTATACCACGCAGATCGATCGTATATTTTGTTACAAAAGGTATACACAGGTGGCAGTCGATAATGATACTCGGTCGCCATCAGGACGCTTGTTTGGGCGGCGGGACTTTTGGGATGCGTTTTTTTTTTTTTTTTTTTTTTGTTCAGCGATGCTTTGTCGGAGCTACGGCAGCCGTTCGAGCTCTTAGGTTTGCAGGGGCGCCGCGTACTCGATGGCCTGGAGGACTCTGGACATGTGAGATAATACAGCAGGCAGGCTACCCGATTCCCCCAGTATGCCCATGGTGCCCACAAGGACCTCCAGATACTCTTGGTCGCCAGATCTATGGTTGCCCCCGGCTCTACGAGGACACGTTAGACGAGGACCTCCACTGGGACCCCAAGCTGGACACAGTGCATCGTTACCTGCGGGAGAAAGGAATCACTGGGCTTGGGCCAAATGATTGGGACAAGTTTGACATGCGCATCGGCATGCCGTCGGCTCCCCCCAGCGCTCCAGACGGTGCCCACAAAGATGCCTGTGGTGTTCTGGGTGGATTGGGAATCTAGACGGGATTCATGGTCGACGGTTTTGTTCTCTGGTGATTCTGGAATGGTCCCCAGCTGGCGAGAGCTTCGTAGATGTGGATGGGGGTTCTGCCAGTTAGGAGGCAAAAGCATGCCTGTTCGAGGAGCCTTGGGGGCGCTGCCAGGTGCGATCCGAACAAAAGGCCGCGCGGGACGCATGCCACTGCTGCAGGCGCTCAGGCTGTTCCCCAAGGTTTCGCTGGTGGTGACTGATTTATTTGCGATGGTGCATGAAGGTGTTGCCTGGCACCAGGACCAGGCAGACGGACAAGCCACCTATGTTGATATATGACATGGCATATTCTCTGAAGTTGGAGATCGGCCACAGCCAGAATTTTGTTGAACTTCGCCGCACATGTCACTGGAAAGGGCTCTCGATGCCAGGCGCCCCCTCGAGTTCTATCTCGGCAACGGATGGGCGGACTGGTTCGCGAAATGGGGGCCCTCGAGCATGCGCTACCAGAATGTCTGGTCCTGAATCATGAGGCGCTGCTCCCGCGCGCCAAGCTCCAGGCCAGGTTCTTCGGGGGGGTGGCGGCGAAGATTGCCCATCGAGAGGGTGAATGTGAGAGGCCCACCCGTTCGTGCAGACCCTCCACCTCAGGGACTTCCTAAGTTGAGCTTCGCGGCCCATGGCATGGCCAGCCGAGCTTTACACGAATGCCGTGTGCAGCGATGTAAACGATGCCTAAGTGTAGCTATGACTCCTGCCAGTTTGGCCAAACTGCTAAGCTCCCCGTGTGCCCCAACCCCTCAGCAGTGTTTGATGGGGTCCAGGGACACATTTTGATGCGGGCTCCTAGTGTTCGTTCCCAGGCTGTCGCTGCGGCCCTACAGTGGGCTGACGAAGTAGACGGATTAGGTCTGGAGAGTGGGGGTTCCGCTCAGGACGAATCGTCGGTGCCGCCGCCGAATGCCACCGTCGAGCTGCGAGGGCACCATGTGTTGGTGTCCCACGGTGCCATGGCGTGCACCTTGCGTACGTCTTTTCAGGCGGCCAACTGTCACTTGGACGAGGAATGCAAAGGGCCCTCCCAGGAATCCCAGGCCAGATATAGGCAGCGATCTAGTATCACACCATAAAGTCTGGCAAGCACCCCAAGACGGGGAAACCATCTGGCTAAGTATATAAGCTGTGGCCCGTGCTCCAGCCCTCTGCTGCACGACAGGTCATCGGCATTGTCCTCCTCCTCCCCCCAACCGTCCTCCTCCGCTGCCTCCTCCTCCCCCTCCTCCTCGGCCTCGTCCTCTTCACCCTCGCCCTCGTTCTCGCCCTCCCCCTCGCTCGAGGACTCGGCGCCCGGGTCCTCGCTTTCCTCGCCCCTCTTCCCCTCCACCTCGGCCTCGTCCTCGTCGTCTCCTCGGCCTCTCGTCCTCCCCGGGCTCTCGTCCTCTTCGCCATCGCCCTCGTTGTCGCCCCCCCTCGCTCGAGGATTCGGCCCCTGGGTCATCGCCCCATCTTCCCCTCCGCCTCGGCCTCGCTCTTCGCGTCTTGGGGGCCTCCTCGCCACCGTCCTCGCCGTCCGTCGGGTGCCAGTCTTGGGATGTAGAAGCCACTTCGGCGCTGGTACACATCCGTGGTCGAACGCGGCCTAATCTGGCGCACTCCCGCTCAATGTCCAGTCAACCCTGCCTAATCTGGCGCATCCGGGGGTTAGTTCTCGATCTTAGTCTGGGCGACTATCCAGATTCAAGGTCTTGCAATCAGGCCCGATGGCCATTTCAAGTGTTCCCACGAAGGCCCCCCCAGGAGTTGCCTCCCAATCCCCCTCGTTCTTCTACTCGTCCTTTTCGTCCTCGTCCTCGTCCTCCTATTTTTGTCCGGCTGACCGTTTGTTTGATTGGATTTAAGCTTCCAGCGGGAGCGCCTTCACTGACACTGACGGCGGGTCCGCGGGGGACGCGCCGCGCCCAAGAAGAAAAACGTTTTTTATTTCTTGGGACATGACGAGCGTCATGCCCCCCGCCCCCCCCAATGACGTAACGCTCCCCCCCCCATTGCGCTCCGGGCGCTGCCGCCGTGCGCATCGGGATCCGCGTACGTGTCCGCATAGGACTAAGCGTTGGAGTCTGGTCCGCAGTCGTCGTCGTCGTCGTCGTCGTCGTCGTCTTTGTCGTTTTTGTCGTCGTCAACGTCGCTCGTCGCTCGTCGCGCATCGTCGTCGTGCGCACGGACGCGGCTGGAGCTTATTTTTGAAATTTCGGGCCGATGACGGCAATCACTTGGGTGGGGGGAGGAGGTCGATGACGTCACGTATCGCGCCGGCGGCGTCTGGGAATGCTTAGGAATGACTGAAGACGGGTAGCACTAGCATGTAGGTTGCGATCTGCGCCACAGCAGCAGCCGCGTGCAACACAGCGCCAGTGTGTGCCACAGTGCTTGCGGGCACCACAGTGTTTGTGTACACCGCAGCGCCTGCGTACACCGCAACAGCCGTGTGCAACACAGCACCACTATACACCACAATGCCTGCGTGCACTACAGCGCCTGTGTACACCAAGGCGCCTGTGTGCACCACAGCAACCGTGCGCAACAGATCACAACAGTTGCATTTACAAGTGCAAAAATAATCTTTATGACAAAACAGATCGCCTTCGGATTCTACAGAAAGCAATTTGTTTACTTCAGGAATTGGGAAGGGATCCCTATGGAACAAGGACCGCCGTTGGAATCTACGAGTCCTCCCGAGTCCGCCCGCATCATCCTATTTCCTCCCATCTGCGTCCAGGAGGCTCCAGCAAAATTGGCCGTCCGAGAACCAGGTGGACTGATTCAATCGATCATTTTGCGGTGCACGCTGAGATGCGCACGTGCGCTGTAGCGCCGGCCCGCACGAAAGGGGGGAAGGGTAAGGGAGGAGGTGGAGGTGGAGGAGGAGGAGAGGAGGACGGAGGAGGGACAAACGTCGCATTCTATTATCAGCAGTTCCCTGGCGTGGCGTTTAGCTGTCCGCAGCAGATCCTCACCGACGTGCTCCTTCCACTTGTCCTGTGCACGCAGGCGCTGTGGTGTACACCGGCGTTGCGTTGCACGCGGATGCTGTGGTGTAGACAGGCGGCGTTGTGCACACAGGCGCTACAGTGCACGCAAGCACTGTGGTGTACACAGGCGCTGTGTTTCACATGGCTGCTGTGGTGTACACATTCGCTGTGGTGTACACGGGCGCTGAGGTGCACGCGAGCACTGTGGTGTACACAGGCGCTTCGTTGCACACGGCTGTTGCGGTGTACGTAGACGCTGTGGTGTACACGCGCGCTGTGGTGCACGCGAGCAATGTGGCGTACACAGGCGCACCTACATGCTGCTCGCGTCGTCGTCGTCGTCGTCATCATCGCTCGTCGCTCGTCGCTCGTCGCTCATTGTCGTCGTGCGCGCGGGCGCGGCTGTTGTGAAGGAATCACACTGGGGGGGGGGGGGGGCGTTACGTCATACCCCCATACCCCCCCCGCCCCCCTCCCCTCCATGACGCCCGTCATCGCCGAAAATACAAAAAAAAAAAAAAAAAAACGCTCTCAAGAGGCGGCGACAGCACGGCCATTCGGAGGGTGGTTCCTTTCGATCCCATTCAGACCTCCTGCTGGTGTCTTTCTTCCTTCCTTGCCTTTGTCCCTCTTCTCACCCTCCTCGCCCCTCGTCTTCGCCCTGTTCCCCCCCAACCCCCGCGTGCCCTTGTCTTTGTCCATCTCCTCGCACTCCTCGCCCCTCGTTCTCGCCCTTTTCCTCCTCCTCCCCCCCCCCGCGGACGGCCTCAG